ATTTTTAGCATAATCTACAAACTTTACTTTACATTTGTATTAACTCACAATATACAAGTCACTTAAGTTAATATTAATTTCTATTCAATTTTATTAATCAACCATCTTTTTCTTTTATACAGTATATAGATGATTATTGATTCATATATAAAACAGAATCGATGATTAAGAAAATTGTTTTACACTCATCATGGGCTACTATATCCCAACATACTTTTTATCGATTAAATACACATATTTTGTAGCTAATTGAAGTACATCAAAAAAACAAATCTAATCTTTATATATAAAATTACAAGAGACAAATATATAGAATTAAAAAAATTACAAAGTAGTTATACTATACAAAAAGAATGAATAATAAATAATTATTTTATTATAAAAAAATATTTGGTTATTTAAAAAACATCTAACAAAGTTTTAAACAAACATATTTATTTTCAAATRGTAACCATCYAAATCAAAATRGTTRTTTTCATATTCATACAATTCAAATAAGAGAAACAACTAATTATATTTCAAGTCAATTATTATTTTGTATTTACAATGAATTGGTTGGTTTTGTCAAACATAAATAATAATTTATTAGTAATCAAATGGTTTGTCTCTAAATCTAATAAATTTTAAAAACCAAAACCATGTTCTACCCCTATTAGGATGCCATGTGTCTCTCTCAATTTTAACAGCGGGCTACCCCTATTAATTTGACAATTAATTTTCACTATGAATTCTAATGTTATAGTTTTTTTTGACTAAAAATATGTCCTTTATTTCTGTTTCGGGAAAAAAAAAAATTGTAATTAAAACAACTTATGTTAACGTGCAGCCAAAAAACTCAAGTAAAGTAAAGCCTTCAATGGAAAAATCATTGTGATTGCATTGAAGAAAAAAAACAAATAAATTATTATTAATGGCTCTCAACATCACTTATGAAAATTATGGAGAAACTCAAGATGTTGCATTATTAGGAACGAAGCATCATTTTGATGTTTTCTAATTATACAGAATTATCTAATTATATGGAGAAATTCAAGATGTTGTATTACCTTTTCATATAATTATCAAATACTCAACCACATATATAAACCATTTAGTAAAAAACTTTTGAAAGTTTGAGATAATCGGTTAGTATTATTTTTAATAGACTAATATTTTGAATTTATACATTTTGAACCGCATAATTAATGCATCCATAATCCATCTCTCTCTTTTTTTTACCTAAATGAATCGATGTTTGAAGAATCACTTTAACTCATGGTTTGAAACAAACACACTTTTTATATAGTGGTTAATACTTCATAGATTACTCAATAATGTCTCTTGCTGTGGCTCCAATTCAGCCCAATAGTTGAGGTCCGACCCGAAAACTCAAAAACCATATGAAACTCAGGAATCAATTAGTGGGCCAATCCTGAAAGTCGACCCAAATCTGAACCACTCGCATGTTGTAAGCCTTGGAGGAAGGTGCTAACATTGTATATCACGGATTATCACGTCTTCGTTGTGTTGTGGCACGTCTTTACATTTACCTAGCATGTTTAATTCAGTAATAATATCACACAACACTAACTCATTCATTAGTCCTTACTCCTTACCAAACGAAAATTATGTTTCATATAATCCTTACCAACCAAAATTTAATTTTGAAAAACAAAATATATATCTATTCATTAGACATAAAAAAAAATTATTTCTAAAATAATATCTTAGGAATGGACAAAGAAAAACAGAACAATCGAACCAAACAAAATTGAAATAGTTAATTTGTTTATAACGATTTGATTTTATTATTTCAAAATCCAAAAACCAAAACTTTTTTTTGTAACCAAACCAAACTTAATTGAGTAAACAAATCATATTGAAATTTTTATCTATAATTATTTATATATATTTCAAAGAGATTTACCCTATTTTATAGTTGTAAAATTAAATAAACCATTAATTTTTTAAGAGGTTTTCTTTTTACTAAAACCGAATCATTGCCACATTGGCCAAAACGTTATTTTTTACAATGACCAATTTAAATGATTAATGTCATTTCATAGTTTTTCATGTCCAAGTCCTTTTCCATTTATATGAKTTTTATTATTCTGTTTCGAAAATTTTCATTTACTCCTATTCGTTGCGTTACCTCAGTTAATTTATGTGCCATTAGCTTAGGTTTGGACGAAAAGTTAGATTTGGATAATGTTCTCAACTAATCGAGATTGGAAAAWTAACCCTAATGATATGAATAGAATACTAGTGCAGCTTTAGTAGCAAAAGAAGAGTGTTATCCATAATCACATTAAATGATCTCAAACTAAATAAAATAGACTGTCTTTAATGAAAGCATTCTCACACTCCCACATGCATCTCCCACCTTTAATTATTTAGATGTGTACTTTTTCAAATTTGGGACCATCGTTATTAAAAATAAAAATTATTGATTAGCATTATTTCTTTAGTCAGATTATGACCTAAGTCATGTTTTGGAATCCCAACCAGCAAAATACTTCCAAAGTGCTAAAGTGCTTAGAATCGCAATCACATATTTCCACAGCTCTTTGATTATCCAACTCAACCCATCAATTACAAAATCCACAATGACTTTTGCAATTTCGAAGGAGCCAGTAGTTCCATCAAACTCTTTGGTCTCCAAGACTTTCCCTGTATTTCTTAGAACAAACTCAGCTCTCATCTTGTTCAACAATGTCACCAAGGAGCCATATAAAGCATTCAATTTCGGAAAGTATTTGCCAAGAAAAACCAAGAATATGTGCAAGACATCAATCAGCAATGCTTTGAAGTCACCAGATGCATCAAATAAACATGGCATAGCTGTTAACTTCATATCCTTCTTTCCTTCTTCCTTTGGATCCTTCTCTTTTTCTTCCTTAGCATTCTCCTTCTCTTCTTTTCCACCTTCCTTTCCATTATCATCCTTCCCCTTCTTCTTTCCATCAGTGGAGTAGCTCAAGCCAACTATCTTTCCAGGAGAAAAAATTTGATGCACACTGGACGGCGGCGAATAGATCGGACGGACAACAGACGAATGGAACTGACGGAGGTACGAGCCACCTCTTCCTTCCGGCGGCGAGTAGATTTTACAAACGACACTTGGGCACAATGAGCTACCACACCCAATCTTCCATCTCATTTTTAGTTTTTTCCGAGTCCAATTGGAATAGCAAAATATGCGATATTTTATTTGAAAATATCACGAATTGACTATAAGATTCATTCAAAATAGCACCACCTATATGGCCAATTTCACAACCATTTCACAAGCCAATTAATACCATCAATTACCATAGTTAACTAATTTGTGCAACTTTGGTTCACTGTTATCTGAAGCAAACCAAATTATATAATTGTAAATGCACGAGTGTTCGTCTATTGGCTACCAAAACATGTTGACAACATTTTGAAATCAAAACATGTTACAACATTTTGAAAACTCCTATACACATGATAACAATAAGGGTATTTTTTTTCTAAGTTCAATTCATAAAGTTCCTCCATATAAGTTTTGGTTTCTAAACTACATCAAATGAAGAAATGATCACTTTCTTTCACAAAAGAAAAAGAAGACAAATGGATGACTTGAAAATGATTATGATATTTATAGTAAAAATATGGGAAAACTTAAATTGCAAATGGAAAAGATTTGCAAAAAGGTAGAGAGCAAATGAAAATTTTAAAAGGAAAATGATGATATTAATGAATGATACAAGATATTACAAACAATTTCCGAAGCATCTTAGAATTTGCCTTGACTATATAGAAAATGTTGGGAGACATGAGTCTATTCATGTCATGTTAAGTCAAGAAGATGCTTCGAAGGAAATTTCTCGCTTCATTCTTTTCTTGGGGCTGTGGCTGTTGTCGCAAGGCAAAACTCATTATGATTCCACAAGGCGGAAATGTGATGCACAACAAAATCTGGAAACTGCAGTTATGAAAGTTAAAGAAGCGATGAAGAAGGTTAAAGAAGTTAAAGTCTAAATTTGTCCAATCAGATTTTAGTGTTTTAACAGCCTTAAAAGTCGTAAAGTTATTTTCTAAATGTCTCACATCATCTTTTTTTTTTGTTTTTGTTAATGTTATGCTTCTTTTTATTAAAACTTCTCTGTCGTGATTTGTTGTTTTAAAATCACAGTTACCTATATAAAAACAAAAGTTTTAAACGTTTTTTTGTATAATATATTATTGAATTTGTTAAATAAATTATATATTTTGTCTATATGAATTTACATAAAAATTACATTAATGTACAGAAGACACTTAATTTTAATTTTTGGAATTAATTTACATAACAATTATCTATTAAATTGTTAGGATTAATTGCTAAAATTATAAAAGACATTTAATTTTCATTTTCTTTTCAAAAAATAAGTTAAAAAGCCAAATGTCAAAAAAATTAGATGACACATGGCATTCTCTTATGACTTGAATTTTGAGAAACCATAAAAATTACATTAATGTACAGAAGACATTTAGTTTTAATTTTTGGAATTAATTTACATAAGAGTTATCTATTAAATTTTTAGGATTAATTCTTGTTCTAAAACTCGGCCGAGTTGACTAAAACTCGCCCGAGAAAACGTTTGGCGGAGGCTCCCGTGACGAATTGCACATATTCGGAGACCTAACGCGGGATGCCGGCTTATCACCGCCGAGTCCGTGGTATGAGGAAAAGCGGCGAGTTATAAGGTACTCGAGTGAACAAAATTTTTGTTAAACATGTCTAATTCAGCCCAGTTTTTTTGTAAAAAGCCCATCAAACTTTGTTATATATTGTGTTTTCACTCTCTCTTATCGACAACAACAAAATTTGGGGATTCTTGAAACCCTAATTTCGACTCTGGATTTATCAACCCCTAAATCATAGTGACTCGAGTTCATCTATAATCTGCATACTTTATTGAAGCGAATTTGAGGTAATACATGTTTCTATTAGAGTTTGTTGAAGTTGGTAGGAAGTTTCTGAAATTATAAGAGGTTGATGAAATTTACCGATGCTTAAATTGGTGTCTCGTTGAACTTTTGCCTAAATCAATAAATGTTGGTCACATGAGTCTTCTGCTCATGACATGGT